TTTTGCTTTTGTTTCCTTGCCTTTGGAGACACATCTAGCAAGAAGTTGTTTTAAAACTGTGCTGATGTTTTTATTCAGATTTGTATATCTTTGCCAGTATGTGTTCTGGTAGAGACCTGTATTGGTTTGAGTTGTGTCTTCCAACACTTTTTCCCAGGAGACCTGTTATTTTTAGCCCACAATTTGCAAAACACCCCACTGCCCCCTTACATAAAAAGACATTTGTAGAAAAAAAAGAAAGAAAAAAAGAAACACATGTATCACATTATACCAGGAATGCCTGAATCTATAAATAAATTTTAAGTGTGCTATTTTTACTCTAAATATTTATGTTCTAGTGTCTGGTCTTATTTTGTCAAACCCAGTATCCTTATTTGCAAAATGGGAGATTTGGGCCAGAACTGTTCATCCTTTCCAGTTTTTGAGATCTTTCTTCATGCAAAATCATACATGATACCTCTATTATTAGAATGATAATTAGATATCCTCAGGACTGGATTAATATAGTAAAATGCAAATCTACCCACAGCCCACCAAAATTCTCATGAAACAGCAGGAAAAAATATTACTAAAAACTCCTGGTAAAATAAAGAATAACAGCAAGGGAAGGACAAAATAATTGCAAAGGGACTGTGGAGGTCCCAGATAAAATATCAAAAGATATTTAAAATAGGAAAGTTTTGGGACATTCATTTGACAGCTTTATAAAAAAACAAGACAATATCCTAAGGAATGATGAGCTTTCAAAATTAGCTCAAGGAGACAAGTATAAAGTAGTATAAAAGAATAAAAGTATAAAATATAAATAAAATAAAATAAAAGTATATAGTATAAAAGAAAACAATGAGCAGTGTGGGGTGAAAAGTTAGTTTTTGCAAATTGCACCAAACCTTCAGAGAACAGAGATTTTCCAATTATATAAACTGTTCCAGGACAGAGAAAAGGTATATGAAGTTTACAAGCCTGGCCTAATTGTGATGCCTAAAACAAATAAAGGTAACAAAATTTTAAAATTATAGGCCTATCTAAATTTTGAAAAATGCAAAAAACCCCAAAACCTTAAAAAAACTGTAAATTAAATCTGCTATTGGGATAATCTACACAAAAATGTAAATATAATTATACATTAGGAAAATCAGTGTAATTAACATATTAACACATTCAAGAAAAAAATGGTCTTCTCAATTTGATGCACCAGATAATGAAAACCTATCTGATAAAATTTGAAACTTATTTATAATTTTTAAAAATCATTAACAAAATAAAACATGAAAAATACACCGCAGGAATACACAGCAAATATCATATCCATCGGTTAATCATTTAAGGGATTTCCTATAAAAGTAAGAAAATGAAAGGGATGTCTATTATCATTATTACTAATCAGGAGGGTTCTAGACAACAGTCAGCAAAAATATTGGGAAGCAATAGATAAAACAGTAATTATTTTAAAAGAATTTTCTATTTAGAAAGTCCAAAATAATCAACTGAAAAACATTAGGTATTACAGCAGGATTCGACAAACTAAGTCAACACATAAAACCAATGAATAAATACCATGAAAAAAAGCTTTGACTTATAATAGAACAGAATCTATAAAATATCTTGCAAAAAACATAATATGTGTAATGATGACCTGAAAGAAAACTAACACTTTACTCAAGGGCATAAAAGAGAATTAGAGTGCATGTAAAAATATACTTATCCTTGAAAAGAAGATTCAATATTATAAAAATACCAATTCTTCTTACTTAATCCCATAAATTAAATATAAGTCAACACTATATTAGCATTTTCTCCTTAACAGTGGCACACTGATTCTAAAATTGTTCTGGAAGAGAAATTATGCAAAAATAGGTAATACAATTTACTTAAAATAGTGACTTTCATTTCCACACTTCAAAATATGCTAGAAAATTAAATAATTGAAGCAATTTGGTATTGGCACAGGAACAGATGTATAGATTAATGGAATATTTAGAGTCCAGAAACAGATCAGATATTTATGAAAACTAGTCATGTGATAAATGTAATAGGTCAAAGATGAGAAGATGTCCTCATTAAAGATATTCCAGAAAATTGCCACTGTGTTGGAAAAATGTCTAAAATTGGAGCTATACATCACTCTCTACTCAACAAATCCATTCCAGATAGATTGTATATAAGGACGTAAGTATAAAGAACAAAAAAGAAAGTGTTGCTATGAAAAAAATTAAGTTGAATTCTTTATAGATAATTGATAAAGAGGAATCATTAAAAACTATTACTGCTGAATTAAATGTGGAAGAAACAACTTTAAAAGATTAGAGCAATAATTATAAAAATCTAAACCAATTCTTTATTCAGGTTGTTCTTCAAGTCCAAGTACATGCTTTTTTTTTTTTTTAAGGATTTTATTTATTTATTTGACAGACAGAGATCACAAGTAGGCAGAGAGAGAGGAGGAAGCAGACTCCCCGCTGAGCAGAAAGCCCGATGTGGGGCTCCATCCCAGGACCCTGGAATCATGACCTGAGCCGAAGGCAGAGGCTTTAACCCACTAAGCCACCCAGGCGCCCCGTACATGCTCTTTATAAAGAAGGTAGAATAAGAAGTTAGAGATTATTACTTATAGGTTTGGTTTATGTCAGAAAGAAGCCATAAAATTATAATCAACAGACCCTGCATCTTATATCAAAGGCTTTCTTTACTCTGATATCAACACTTAGGTGACTGAGAGTCTATTTAGACATTTTTAGTTAAAAACAAAATGTTCTAGGGACGCCTAGGTGGCTCAGTGGGTTAAGCTGCTGCCTTCGGCTCGGGTCATGATCTCAGGGTCCTGGGATTGAGTCCCGCATCGGGCTCTCTGCTTGGCAGAGAGCCTGCTTCCCCCTCTCTCTCTCTCTGCCTGTCTCTCTGCCTACTTGTGATCTCTCTCTGTCAAATAAATAAATAAAATCTTTAAAAAAAAAATGTTCTAAGATGTCTTTTTTATAATTCCCATCTCTAACTTTGTTTTATTTACACTTTTCTTGATCTCATCCGTTAAGTGATAAGAGAATATGGAACTAAAATTCAAAATGATCTTTAATTGGGCAGCTGGAGGGCAATGGTAGAGAAATGAACTGAAGTCATATTCAGGCTCTAAGGCTTATTTGAGAGTGCGATATACACAGTGATTAAATTGAGATTACAATGGAAAAGATTTAAGATACATGTTATTTAAAAATTGTGTAACCACTGGAAGATTAACAAATATATTTGTGTTTCCCAAGACTCTATAAAGATAAAGAAGAGACTCAAAGAAGATTCAAACAATCTCAACAAATGAAGGAAAATAGTAAAAAAAAATATAATTAATATAAACCGATAACATAGCAGAAGGCATTGCTATGAGAGAGATGGTTTAAATTTTCTGATTATAAAGCAGTCTCAGAAAATGAGTTAAAATACATTTAGCTATATATCAAATATATACACCTATACTAAAAAAATAATTCACTATTATCTGAAATTCATATTTACTGGCCATCGAATTTATCTCAAAGCCCTAGTAAGGGGTATATATACAGGTGGGTGAAATAAAATAGTTCCAGAAAGCTGTAACCATATCTGAGGCTGAAGTCACCAAACTGGGGTCCATTGTCTAGACTTCAACACACTGATGAAAGGAAACTTTGATAGCAAGGTGGGCCACTACTCTTAAGCTGGTTCCTAGAATAGAAATAGGAAAACAGAACTCTAAGCACGGAAAGAGAAGTTGGGGGTGGGGGGTGAAAGGAGAGGAAGTTGAATTCATGTGAGAGTATGGAGAATGCCTTTGGAGCAAAACTTGGGTGATGAGGAAGGCAGGAGCTCAAGGATATATATGCCATGCCTTATGTTTAGACTAGCAGTAGAAATAACTCAAGAAGCAATTAAAGCTCATGGAGAGCATTGGGACAGGAATCTAACAGGAGGAAGGGACATAGGGTGTAGAACACATGTTGTGAATACTATCACCATTTTCACAAGTGTTTTCTTAAAAAAATAGCAATTGTCAAAATAAGAACATTTATAGAAAATTTAGTAGCTATCAACAGAGTAATGCTTTATTTTTCTGCCATTTTTGAGAATAAGTGTTCTCAAATATTTAGTGACTTTTCCAGATAAATGAACATATCCCTCTAATGGCCTCAAATGTTTTAACATATAAGGCTTTTTTTTTTTCCTTCTGAAACCCTTCATATATTTAACTAAGATCCTTATACAAAGTACATTAACAAATATATCCTTTTGAATGACTCTTACAGAGGGAGAGAGAAGGAAGGAAGGAAGGAAGGAGGGAGAGAGGGAGACAGGGAGGGAGAAAAATTATGCCATTAGAAGTATCTGAAATACGCGGCGATATTTTTTCAGTTTAATCTGCTCATCAAATAATGTAGATTATTAATAATATAGATTATTATATAGATTACATATAATCTATAACTATATATAATTATATAGATTATATAATCTTAATAATGTAGATTATTAATAATATCAATTCTAAAAAATATATATTGAGTTTCAGAGAGTTTAACTGGTGTGCCTGTCACGGAGCTAGTAAATCTGTCTCTAAAGCTTATGACATGTCCACCTCACTGCTCCGCATATACTTTGTCGCATCAGTTAGACCTCCCAGAAACATGCTGTCCTCAGCTTTGAGATGGCTGGATAAAACTAACTCTGAATATGTAATATATTCTTTATTATAATTTATGTCCATCCTAAAGCTACCTAATCATTTTCTAGCTTGATGCATTTGAAAAATAATTGTAATATCTTAATAACTATAGTATTTTAAAATTGTCACTTAAAATTAATATGAGGATATATTTTAAATAAATATAAGAAAGTAAGGCTATATATAAAACTTTTACCAGACCAAGTTACAAAAAAAAAATAGAAACAAAGACACAAAATCAGAAAAGAAAACATACAGTTGGAGGTATTATGGGCAGAAATGACTATTCATTTTTTTTTTTCTCCTTTAGTGATTACTCTTTGGGGAGCCACAAAATATTTCAGAAAGATAAATCTGTTATTCAACTTAATCTGCAGAAAAATGGGGAAGTTCCAGGAAAATTATCTCGAAAGGTAAGATTTTCTTAGCATCGGTTTCAATTTCCAAGCTGATCATTTTAAGGACAACATTCCTATCTTTATTGATTGTTGCCAATTTGGAATTACATAGCTTAATGAATACATGTTCCTTTGAGTATATTTACTGAAACATAATGAAATATTTACCTAAATGCCTGTTAACAATTTGGACTGAAGCAATTACATGAACACATTACTGTAACCTTAGTATAATAGCAAATCAATTGGTCTCTTGGAAAAATCATTTATGAGAAACTTATCAAAGCTATTACATTCATACTATCCATGAAGCCACTAGGAAGAGAACAGAATAAAAAATGTGAAGGGGCAACCATTGAAGAAAGAAAAATAACACAACTCTCGTTCTATTTGAAGAGTTTATGTCGGTGTCAACACAATTTAAATCAGGGCAGATTAATATTCATAATATATATAATAAAACTAACTCAAAAGGGATTACTGTGCTTTAATGACATAATTTCATGCTGTTAGATATGAATTTTATTCCCTATGTCTTGAGTTATTTTAAAACAAAATTGCACAGTATGCAATGAACTTTGATATTTTGGCAGCTTTATCTGTAGAATCTTCCAATTACCTGCTTTAAGCAAAAATCCCGTCACCCTGTCATTTACATCAGATAGCAGATTTCCAGTGCATGACTCTTTTTTTTCCCCCTAGTCTGAGGTGTTTCATCATAAAAAGTGTCAGGTGGTGCATTAGGTTGCAATATATCTATGTGGAATATAACATAATGAGGTCAAAAGAGAGTTGTTTAGAAAAATCTTTTGGAACTGGTACTCAACTCAGCCAGTGTTGACAGCTGCAGGGTATGCATCTGAAATCTCCACAGAGAAACATTATAAAGTACAACTAATACTCTCAATATTAATATACCCTAAGAGTCTTCAAATTGTCTTCAATGTTTTGAAAAAGCTGAAATCATCATGTTTCATTTCAACATGGGGAAAGAAGACAAAATGTATGATTACAACTTCTATTCTCCTTGAGAACTTTCATGTTGCTAAAAAAATTACTTATCTCATTGGTAGTAATTTAAAATTCAGAATTATGACTTAGAAAACATATATGCACAGAATGATACCCATTTGTTCACTGAGCAAATTATAATTGAGCACCTACTATACACGAGGCACTCTTCTAAACACTGGATTTACAGAGACAAGCAAGACATGTCATTACTTATTCTAGAATGCAGAGCTCTCATCCTAGTAAAGAAGACGTGCAATAAACAAATATACATTTAAAAGTCTCATAGACTGGGTGGCTCAGTTGGTTGAGTATCTGACTCTTGGTTTTGGCTCAGGCCGTGATCTCATGTATCATCAGATCAAGCCCCACAAAGGGCTCTACCTTCAGCCAGCAGTGTGCTTGAAGATTTTCTCCCTTTGCCTCTTCCTCCACTCATGCACATGCTCACATGCATTCTCTCTCTCTAAAGTAAAATAAAATAACTTTTTAAAAAAAAGTCTGATAGAGATATGTGCTTTGAAAGAAAAGAATTATGTTTTTAAAGCCTAGGGTAGGAACACCTGATACAGATGAATATGAAGGGCTAGTTGTAGGGATTACTCTATGTATAAGTCCTACAGCATATAGACCTAGCTTTCACCTTAAAAAAAAATAGAGTGTTAAATTTACTGATTTGGCAACTTGTTTAAAAACAGATTCTGGACTGATACTGCCAAATTCAAACGTCTGCTCTTGGACACATGCTTATATTCACCCTAGTTTTCTGGTTAAGAAAAGTGTGAATAATAATACATACCTAATATGATTATTATTAGAACCTAATTGAAAAATGTAAGTGAAGAGCTTAAGTCAGTGCCTGAGCCTAATCAGAACTACATAAGTATCAATTATTGATGTCATAAAATTAAGGTGTTAGACTAGATGGTATGTTAGCCTTTTACTATTAAAAACTTTCTATGGTAAGGAGATACTGATTCTATTGTTTAACGTAGTGTCAAAATTCTCTATCTATATAAAAACATTTATAAACAATTATATTCCTTTTCAGTAAAATTACATAAATTGGCTTACAATATTTCTTCTGTATAATACTAGGAACATAATGATGATTATTATTCCATTAAATTTCTTGACACCATTGCCTTACACTCGAGATGTGAGCGTTCTCTAGTTGTACAAGTATACTGCAAAGCTCAATTCATCTCAGATGCCTTTCCTATTTTAAACTTGTTTGTGTCATACTGAAATATGGTCATTTAATTCTTGTTCCATGAAATTATTCATAAAATATGTTGATATGTTGACAAGTCCTTAGAAATCTTTCTAGATTTCAAAATTTTACAATCCCCATCCTCATTAGATGTGTATAACTGAGTCTTTTATAAAAAGATTTTTCTCTTTCTCTCTCTCAAATTTGACAAGGATTGCCAACATTGTTGATATTAATCATAAAAACCAAGATTTCATTCTAGCTCAAGGAAACATTCACAGAACACATACAGCAGTAGATTTCTGTAGGAAAAAGGCAAAAAGAGACACCTTAACTTTTTCTCTTCATCTTTTTCCTTAAGATGAAGGAATGGCCTTTAGCTTTGGAGAAAAGTAAAGAGTACAATATATTCCATGGACAACTGCTTAAACCTGTTCTCCAGACTTTTGAGTTCCTTTAAATAAAAATACTTTTCTTATAAGTGACAATATGACAAAGGCCAATTTCTCCCCCAAAAGCATCTCTGGAAGCCAAGTGAAGTGATTTTAAAATGAATATGATTATGCTATACAGAAAGATGCAAATAAGTCATTATTTATATGCTTGCTTTGGTTTTAACTTCAGAAGAAGTTTTCTTTTCTTCTTCTCAAAGTGTTTCTTTTCTGTAGCATGCATTCAACATATTGTATTATAGGGATGGCCTTATTCTCTCCATGTAACAGCTTCTTTACTCTTCCTCACAAAACCACCCATTAAAGATATTAATATACCTTTGACCTTAGGCCATATCAAGGTCTTCCTTCTGATGTTTTCTGTCAGGAGCTCTAATAGGCAGTTTTAAAAATAGATCATATATTAACATACAAGATTACATGCACTCCAGGTATTTAGGGACTCATTTAGCTTTCAAACTTAACAGCTGTGTGTAGTGAAATAGTGCCATTATGAGGGAGTATATCGCATTCTCCTTTGCAGACTTGCATAGGATTTTCATGAGCGCCTGTTGCAGAACTGCTAATTGAGGAGTTATGGGGCATGTGTGAGCGTGTATGCATGTGTGTTTGTGTGTTTATGCATATGGACCACAGAACTGATATTTTACAATGAGTAGTTTCTGCTCATCTTGGGAGAAAACACAGGCCCCCTGATAACTCCTCTTACACTAATATTTGGGAGGCAAGATGTGGTAAAGTTGAAAAATGGAGTTCATGCTGAGTCTGCCAGCCGATGTGACAAGCTATCAAGTCTCAGACTGCCATGGCGTCCACAGCCTGAATGTAAAGAAATGTGCACGTATGTGAGAGAACTAGTGTCTGCAAAACTGCCTTCCTGCTAGGAGAACCTAATGTCTGACCTTGGTGATGCCAGGATGTTTTTCAATCAGCCTTGAGGTTATCCTCAACCAAAGCTCAGTTTTCTGATTCACTTTTTTAAAAGAATGCTTACAGAGTTAAGAAGTGTCTTGTAAAGTCTTTAAAACAAAGTATTAAAATGATCAATGAGGGTTATCAAAAGAGGTGAATAAAATGACAGCAGGAAGTTACAGACCTATTTTTATCTGGTACTCATTCCTAGTCACTCTATGAATATTAATATATTCTGCTGTCTACAGCATGAAGATGACCACAGTCAGTTTTATCTGAACCAACTTCTAGAATTTATGCATATTTGGAAAGTATCCAGGTAAGATATTTTATTTTGTTCCAAGACTACTTTCTGACTGAGTTCTCAAGTGCCAAATCACAATATTTTTCAGTTGATTGTAAAAACTGTCCTTTCACTAGTACCGTGGAAGCTATTATACTTTTAATAGATATCTCCCTTTGGCAAATTTTGTTAATAATTATCTATTCTTCACAGCTATTCAGATGCATTTGAAGAGCTGCTAACACCTTCCAGAACAATCTAACATTCATTTTAAAATCTCTCTGCTACCAGTTATTACATTTTCTAGGGCTTTTTTTTCTCATTCATTTTGTGAATTTGAGTGTGCATTTGTCACTAAGCTCTTTGTATAACTGAATTTCCATACTTTGAAAGTCAAAACCTCCTGCTTTAAATTTCTTTCTTGAACTCTCTGAAAATAATTGGTGTATCATAAACAGAGGAGTGTGAATTCAAATTGGAAAACTCAAATGACAGTCAATGAACATATCCTAATTGATTGTGACATCTAAATGTATGCATGTATTATTGAAAAGAATAGACCCATCAGAAAGGTAAACTGGGAGAAGATACCGTGCCACACTATGGGTTTATCTGGAATTAAAGTTGTTCTGAGTTGAATTAGTGAAAAATGGGGTATGGGAGGTATGTATCATTAATTTCAGAAGCAAACCTGATATAAAATATGAGTTAAAATTGTTTTTAGTGACCATTCATAATAGCTATCATCACTTAATGGGGTTATCGTACATTTTGTATATATTACCTCATCTAATTCTCCCTACAACCTTATGATAAGACACAGAATTTACTTCAAAATCAAAGAAACTAAAGCTCTAGAAGATTAAATACCTTGCCTAAGGCCACTCAGTTCATCGTGGTAGGACCAAAATTAGGTCTGCCTGAAATCTGCAAACACCAACTCTCTGAAATTTGCGAAGACCATATATTTTCCTATTAAACTATGGTCTTAAAAAAATAAAAAATAAAAAATAAAATAAACTACTGTCTTTCCATATGGGCCTCTATTTCCCCCAAAATATTTGTCTTCAGCAATAAAATCATAGAATAGGTAGTAATAGGGAGTACTTTCAATATAACCTAACTCAAATTTTTATTTTATAGCTAATTACATGGATTAGGTATGCGCTCTCATCAAAATGACATATTCATAAAGGCTGTAGTTTCCTTATTCCAAAATAAATGTATCCAAAAAAGAAAAAAACCTGTAGAGAGCTATCAAATCTGACAATTTTTAAAAAGTGAGAAATCCTTGGGAGACAAAGGATTGCTTTGAACTGGTTTGGTGGAGGGTTGTGCTTACATGTAGACAGCTGCTGCCTGAGACACAGAGAAACAAGGGAAGGGTAGAAAAAGAAAGTGAGAGCAAGGTATTTTTTTTTCCTTCTGTTCCTGCCTCACCCTGCCATTATCCGGCCCTTGGCCCTTCAAAGAAGACTGGTGACCTTGACCACTGTGCAGTCCAGGTGTTCACAGGGTTAAATTAGGGCAAAGCAAAAGCTGTGCCACAGTGAAGACTAGAGGAAACCTGACAGGGACCAACGAGCCTCAGAATCTAAGTCCTCCACGCCTTCTCTTCAACCCTAGGGCGGTCGGTGCGGCTTATCTTATCAATTTATTTAAAAAATTTGTCAGCCATCATACAGATAATTGATGCTCTAGCTAGGACTAAAACCAAATGTTTAATTCTCAGTAAGTGCTTATTCTACTTTAATTGTATATATTGTATATAATTGTATAAGTCTATATAAAATATGTATATATAAAATATTTATAAATAATGCATATATTTACATATAAAGTTGCACACAAAATGTATTTTTATTTTATATATAGTATTTTGTATTATTGATTATATTATTTTATATATATGGCATTATATATGTATATATGTGTGTGTGTGTGTGTGTGTGTGTGTGTGTGCATGTGTGTGTATTCATTCATCCACTGCTGAACATTTAGGTTGTTTGTCATGGCCATTGTGAATTATGTGGCAATGAACTTGGGAGTGCAGGATGATAGCATAGTTCTACTTTTTTTTTTTTTTAATTTTCTAAGGAAACTTCATACTGTTTTCCAAAGCAGTTATACCAATTTACATTCCCAACAGTACACTAGCGTTCCCTTTTCTTCACAGCCTTGACAAGAGTCTTTTTGATAATAGCCATTCTAACAGGTGTGAGGTGGTATCTCATTATGGTTTTGATTCACATTTACCCAACAATTAGTGATACTGTTCATGTGCTTGTTATTCAGATGCTTCTTGACCATTTGTATATATTTTTTGGAGAAATGTCTACTCAAGTCCTCTGTCCATTTTTTTAAATTGGACTGATTTTTCACTGCTGAGTTTTACATTTTAGGTATCAATCTCTTATCAGATATATGGTTTGCAAATATTTCCTCCCATAACCTAGGTTGCCTTTTTATTTTGTTCATTCATTCCTTTGCTGTGCCGAGCAAAGTTTAAGGTTTAAGATAGGGGTGCCATTTCATTCTTTTGCATGAGAATATCCACTTATCACAACACTATTTATTGAAGAGACTATCCTTCCCCCACTGATTATTCTTGGATCCTTGTCAAATAATACTTGACCATATATGTATAGGTTTATTTCTGGGCTCTCAAGTCTGTTTGATTGGTCTACGTGACTGTGTGTATATCAGTATCATAATGCTTTTGATTTCCAAATCTTTGTAAAAGTTTGAAATCAGGAAGTGTGATCACTCTGGATTTGTTCTTTCTCAAGATTGCTTTGGCTATTCAGGGTATTTTGAGGTTCCTTATTAATTTTAGGATTGTTTTTATTATTTCTGTGAAATATGACACTGGAATTTTGATGAAAATATATTGAATGGGGTGCCTGGTGGGCTCAATCAGTAGACTCTTGATCTGAGGTTCGTGAGTTCAAGCCCCATGTTGGACACAACGCTTACTAAAAATATATAATCTATATATAGGTGGCTCTGAGTAGTATGGACATTTTAACAATATTAACTCTTCTAATCTAAAACCTTGAAAACCTTTCTATTTATGTGTTTTCTTCAATTTCTTTCATCAATGTCTTATAGTTTTCAGTGTATAGCTCTTTCACTTCCTTATTACTGTTTTTTATGCTATTGTAAGTGGGATTTTTTCTTAATTTTTCAAAACTTTCTCTGTCATGTATAGAAATCCAACTGATTTGTCTTGCATCCTGAAACTTTACAGAATTCATTAGTTCTAAGAGTATTTGGATGGAGTTGTCAGGATTTTCTACATATCAGATCGTACCATCATGAAACAGACAAAATTTTACTTCTCCCTTCCAGTTTGAATGCCTTTTATTTCATTTTCTTGTCTGATTACTCTAAGACTTCTAGTACCATGCTGAATAGGAGTGGTGAGCATGGGAACCCTTACTTTGTTCCTGATTTTAGAGGAAGTACTTCCAACATCTCGCCATTAAGTATGATGATAGCTGTGGGTTGTCATACATGAACTTTATTATGTTGAGATATGTTTTTCTATACCTAATTTATTGAAATTTTTTCTGAATGTAACTTTTTTCATTCTTTTCTGCTCCTATTGAGATAATCAATGATTTGTTTCATTTTATTCATTTATTCATATTATTCATTTATCACATTTATTGATTTGTGTAGTTAAATCATTCTTACATCCCAAGGATAAATTTTCTTGGTCATGGTGTATATGATCCTTTTAATGTGCTGTTGAATTTGGTTTGCAAATATTTTGTTGGAAATTTTTGCATCTATAGTCATCAGGGATATTGGCCTGTAGTTTTATTTTTTTGTAGTGCCCTTCTCTGGCTCTGGTATCAGGGTAATGCTGGCTTCATATAATGAGTTTGGGAGTGTCCCAACCTCTTCAAGTTTTTGGAAGAGTTTGAGAAGAACTGGCATTAATTTGTCTTTAAAAATTTGGTAGGATTTATCAATGAAGCTATCTGCCCCTGAATTTTTCTTTGTTGGAAGGTTTTTGATTACCAATTTAATCTTCTTATTGGTCTATTCAGATTTTCTATTTCCTTCTGATTCAGACTTGGTGGGTAGTATTTTCTAGGAATTTATCCAGTATTCTAAGTTGTCCAATTTTTTGTCATATAATTGTTCATAGTAGTCTCTTTTGCTCCTTTTTTGTTTCTTATAACAGCTTTTTAAAAGATTTTATTTATTTATTAGCAAGAGAGATGGAGGGGGAGAGAGAGAGAGAGAGTAGTCTGGGGAGGGGCAGAGGAAGAGGGACAAGCTTACTCCCACTGAGCAGGGAGTCAGACTAAAGGCTTGATCCCGGGATCCTGGGTTCATGATCTGAGCCAAACACAGACACTTAACATACTGAGCCACCCAGGCAGCCCCTGTAACAGCTTTTAAATTAAAGTTTGCTTTGTATAAGATAGGTATAGCTACCTCTGCTCCTTTTTGGTCTCTATATGCATGAAGTACCTTTCTCCATCCCTTCACTGTGAATGTGTATGTCCTTGAAGCTGAAGGGAGTCTCTTGCAGCCAGGATATATATAGTTGTGTCTTTAACCACTCAGCCACTCCAATTGAACTTGGATGCCCAAATCTCTCCCCAGGTTTGGGAAGTTCAAAAGCCATTATCTTTATATAAGCTGTCTGTTCCTTTCTCATTCTCTTCTCCTTCTGGGACTACAATGACATGTACATCATTTCTTTTTATAGTGTTCCATGAATCCCATAGCCTTTTTAATTCCTTTTTTTTTTCCCCTTTTGTTCCTCTGCTTAGGTAATTTCAAATAATCTGTCTTTGAGCTTACCGAATTTTTCTTTTTCTTGGTCCCTTCTTCTGCCAGGACCCTTCTGCCCTTCTTCTGCTTCTTTTTTTGAATTCTTCAGTTCAACTACTGTATTCTTTAGCTCCAAAACTTCTGGTTCTTTTATATGTTTTCTATACCTTTGCTGAATTTCTCATTTTGTTCTTATATTGTGTTGCTGATTTCAATAAATTGTCTTTCTGTGTTCCCTTATACTTCTGAGTTTCTTCAGAACAATTATTTTAAATTTTTTGTCAGGCCATTCGTGTATCTCCACTTCTTTGAGGTCAGTTGCTAAAAGTTTACTCTGTTCCTTTGGTGGAGTCCTATTTCCCCGATTCTTTGTGATCCCTAGAGCCTTGCAGAGGTGTCTGTGCATGGGAAGAAGCTGTCACATATTCCAGACTTTATGGGCTGATCTCAGTGCAGGACCTTCACCTGTGGGTGAGGCACATTGGAGCACGCTATGGTCCTGGGTCTATAGTGAGGGCACCAAGGACAGAGCCGTGTGGAAGACCCAAATCTGGTGAGTGTAATGTCCCCTTGGGTCAGTCCACTGGGACCCACAACATTAACTATGTGGCCTTACAAGTGCTGTGGGGGATCAGTGGCTGCAGGTGTTGTTGGCATCTTCAGTGGTGCCTCCAGGTCCCGTAGCTAGGGACTGGGGCAGGCAGTGGTTGCTACTAGAGCTGGTGTCACACACATACACACACACACACACACACACACACAGTTGCAGGGGCCAGCTGCAGGTGCCTGTGTAGTGGCAGTGGCTGGTGGCAGACATACAGATAGTGGGGGAGGACAGGGCTGGCAGCAAGGACTAGGACTAACTGAAGGTGCACTGGCACTGTGGAGACTGGGCTGTTGGCATGCACTCCTCTGGCTGCAGACCTTCATCCTGTGCATAGCAGTGGAGGTTGTTATGGGAGTCAGGCTGGTTAGATGCAGGTATACAGCTGGAGGGGTGGTTGCAAGCAAGCCCACTGTGTGAGTTAATGACAGGAAACAGGGACAGAACCAGGCCCACAAGCAGCTATGGGGGCCCTGGCTGTTGGTGTGCATTCTTGTGACTGCAGTGTCTCCCTAAGACATGTGCACAGCAGTGAAGACATTAGCCAGGCCAAAGGCTTGGAGGTGCGCAGCTTGGGAACCAGCTACAGGTAAGCCCTGGAGTGGCAGTGGGGTGAGGAAGGAGTGGAGAGGAACTCAAGCAGCTGCTGTTTGTGAATGTGAATACCTGTGTATATGAGGGAAATAGGGAAATCTGCAGGGGGTTCTGCAGCCGCTCTGTTGGTTGTTGGTTTGTTCAGTGGTAAAAGTTACTGGGCCCTCTGCAGAGCAGGTCACTGGGAACCATTGTAACTCCCACTGTGTGACTCATAGTGGTAGCCCCAGCCGTTCTTCCTTGTTCCTAGCTGTCTTTATGCATCTCTGCTTTGCTGGTCTCTGGCTGGAGTAAAACCAATGCAGGTCCTTCTTGTAGTGGCCCAAAAGGCTGGGAAAGCTGCTGGTTCACCACTCTCCCTTTCCCAGCAAGGGGGTTTCCCTCTTGGCAGTGAGAAATGCTGGCCTGCAGGATGGGATGAGGCAGGTAAAATGAAACTGCCCTCCCTTCCCTTTTTGTGTGGTTATTCTCAGCTGTTGTTGTTGCTGTTGTTCTACGGTGTTATGTAAGTTTCTTGGAAGGACTCCTAAGCTCTTCCAGAGTTGTTTCTGTTCATGGATAGTTGTCTTACTGTGGGAAGACAGAGGCTGGGATCTCCTACTTTGCCGTCATGGTGACCTCCCAAGAATGCTTTCTGGAATACAAGGCTCTTCTGCTTGCCTTCCACAGCCCACTTTATGGTGTCATTAAAAGATCAAACACTAGATGGCAGGAGCTTTGTTTTCAGTTTTCCTCTTCCCTGGCCTGACTTCTATTTAGAAGTTGGGCAAATCACATACCCTCGTTAGTTTCTAGGAGTTTTTCTATAAAATAAATATAATATTTAACAGCAAGGTGCTGAACTAGGTATATATTCTTGGGGGTCTTTTAAGTTTTAAGGTCAGATTTTATATAAAAACCTTTCCTCCAATAACCAAAATTTTTCACTATTCTTTTCCTATACCTCCACTTTGACATAGTCTATGAATTTTGTTTTTGAACTATAAGATGTAATGCAACTAAAGTGATGATTTAACAAAGGCTGAGAAGGCAGCTATTGTAAAATATATTGGTGTGTGTTCGTGTTGTATCATTTGTTCAATTCAATTCAGGAGTTTTGGGGACAAATGGGAAGGGAAAATCATAATGTTTAGGAAAATAATTTTGATAAGTGTAGTCAGAAAAACCTCTACTAATCTCACATCTATTCCACTGAAGCAAAGATAAAGTTGGAGCAATAAGAGAAGCTCAGGAAAGAAAAACACAGAGGTCTGAAGCCAAAGACAACGTTATGTATTATAAATATATGTCATTAATTTTGAAAGGGATTCTCTTCAAGATTTTGCATATTTAACAATTCTTGATGTTAGTATTTGTCATTATCTGCTCATGAATCCTTTTGTAATTTATATTTTGAATAAAGAGTAGTTTGATACAATGAACAGTCTTCGAGAGGTTTGGTTAATTTGTCATGACTTTTTTTTTTTTTTTTTGGAGTTCTAAAGTTTTCAAATATGTTTGTAGCTTATCAAGTTACAGAAAGTTTATAAACATTCGTCTGAAATGGTTTTTAAAATCGTGTCAGCAGCAATTCTTTTTTAACCATGTCTGCTATAGAATCATGGACAAAACAGAATTTATGATAAATATGCTAAAGTTTATATAAGCTTTCCTACCCACTTTTAAACAAAGTTGTTTTTTTTTTTCTTTCCAGACAGTGCCTCTCAACAGTAATAAAAAAATATGACTTCCATCTGAAATGCCTATTGAAAACCCAGGTATTAACTTATGTTACTTCACCTGTCAATTCAACAAGCATCTATTAACCATATACTCTTTTTCTAAAACTTTGCAGTTTTCTGAAGATACAAAGATGAATAAAGTAGAAGGTCTATACTTGAGCAGCTTTCATTCTATCAAGGCAAAAAAGACAAGTAAATAGATGTGTGTTAATAAAGTGTCACAGATACTGTGAAAGACCTATGCGTATATAGGCCATGGAAGAAAGTTATCAGTTTTACCTATTTGACCTGGATGTTGAAAAATGAGTATGCCAGCTAGAGAAGTGGCATGTGAAGGAAGGTGAGGGGTGGGGATAACTTTCAGTATAGAACACCATGAATAGAAGCAGTTAGGAAACAGCCTGCTGTGATTTGAAAACTGTATGAAATTTGGAATGGCTACAATTAGGGTTAAAGGCCTGTAAAGAGACCAGATGAAAGGGGCAAGCAGGGGCCATTATATAGGATCTTAAGGACACTTTATGGACAATTTAATGATTTTCTAATTTATCAGCTGATGACATAGAACCATTATGCAAGCCAGTAGAATGACAGATGGGTGATTAGAGGAGCATTTCATTAGCCCAAAGAGATGATGAGGGTATTGACAAAAACTCTACAACAGGGGTAGGTAGGAGGGGACTAATTCAAAATAGGTAAAAATATGCAACTTATATGATTTGGTGAAAGACTATGTGTAAAACAAAAGAAGAGAGTGTCTAGAATACCTCCACATTCCTGGCTGCTAATTGACTGCATGGAGACATCAGTTCACTAAAATAGCAAAGAGAGGAGAAGCTAGCTTGACAGGGAAAAATGATGGATTTAGTCTAAGACTACTGAGATTTGGTCACCAACTGGGCATCCAAGTTGTGGTCACCATTAGGCGTATCATTTCTTATAACTTAATCTTCCACAGATAAAACCACCTATGATTATAGAAAATTGTATAAGACAGTGTTTTGTTTTGTTTTTTTTTTTTAAAGAATTATTTATTTATTTGCGAGAGAGAGAGAGAGAGAGAGAGAGAGAACAGGGGGAGGGGCTGAAAGAGAAGGGAGAGAGAATTCCAAGCTGACATCCAAGCTCAGCACAGAGCCCGACACAGGGCTGGATCCCAAAACCCTGAGATCATGACCTGAGCTGAAAGCAAGAGTCAGACAGTCAACCGGCTACACTACCTTGTGCCCCAAGACAGTATTTTTAAAACAAGTGAGGATTTCTTCATCCATTAAATAATTGACTCCTGATATATATGAAAAGATAAAGAACCTAGGTGACTATTCTTAATATTAATTAACAGTAAAAGATTCAGAAAATAATAAATAATATTTCTTGATGAAGATACCAAACTCGTGTGAATTCCACATAAATATTCAAATACACAAGTGATGACACACAACTCATATACCCTTCCAAAGTGTAATCCTCTCATTCTAACAGGATTTTTCTTTCTTGAGTCCAGCTTAAATATGGAAGTTTAAAATGTGAAATGTGAAAAAAAACTCACAGATTGGTTTAAGTCTCATAAAAGTGTTATAATTAGTACTTTTTTCAGCTTGATTTTTCACCTTTGTATAGAATTTGAAATTTACCAGGTACTCAATGCAAATGAAGACTTCATTCCTAGATCATTTATGTCACTAGATTTTATGTAAATATATTTTTGAGGTTATAGTAAGCTACTTATGAATTAATTGTAATTACCTAAATGTCTTGGTACTGCTCATGTATCACAAATGCCATTTTACACACACACACACAAAATGTTGAGAATCTGTAAAGTTCTTAATCTCCAAGAGGTCTGATCATCTTACTCATATATGAAGCCTCTAATATTTTCACTTTAAAAGAATCCATTGATTATTTTAAATTTTTCCAGTATGACTTAAAAATTGGCAAAACATCAAATAATTACTGTCTTTACATTAATACAGGCAGATAGTTATCATCACCCACATCTGAATTATCTTATAAATAGGCCACAGTGTCTGCGATTTTCCCAGATGAACTCCTTCCAAAACCATGAGCTTTTTAAATGTGATTCTTCCTATGAGGTATCACTGGTAAATATTTGAGAAGTGGGATAGACTGTGATATGATTGATTCACAATTTTGTGCTTCGTATTTATTTTTAAATTGCATTAGGTAGCATTTCATCAATGTTGAAAATAGTACCAATTTGAAAAATATTTTTTTATTTTCCACACTTGAATTATTAAATGTAATTTTTTAAAAAATAGCAAACATGCAGGCTGAGTAAATATGACATGAATATTATTGAGTAATATGGATAATTTAAATTTTTAAATATTTTATTTCCTCAGCCATGGTCATTTAACATATTTTAGACTTGACTTATTTCAGATTGGGCATTCTGACTATTATGTTTGCTAAATAGATAGTTTGTAGTTTACATAGAACTTTTCCTTTGAACATCTTCTTCCTCTCACCTATTTACTAATATCCAGAAAGATAAAGAATATTTTTTATATTCATTCTATATTCTGTATTCATCTCTAATATTTCAGAGAAGTTGAAAATGGAAGAAAGAGAAAGAATTTTCCCCCTAAGATATTAGTCAGTACTTACTTAATGCAAATTAGTGAACTATTTACTCACTGGAATCAAGACAAATGGAAATCAGAACCATACTCTGATGTTGCTGATGATCTAGTTGGAAAGACAGCATATTCACATGAATAATGTACACAGAATGGTACACATACACAGCAAGGTAATTTAAAACAAGATTTCAATCTATGTGCAGGAATCAACTTCTGATTCAAAGTGCTTCTTCTTAGTAGCCTGTAATGCACTGTCTCTAAAATTATTATTACAAGGTCAAATAGCCCTTTATAGAAAGTTAGCAATCCCTCCCACTGATGACAAACTTATACTAGAATCTAGTAACTGGTGAACTAACTGTAAACTAGATGGAAGTCGACTGAGAAAAATCTACTCATGTTTCAAAACATGGTTTGGCTTCATGAAATATTTTCTTGGTCTACAAAGAGGTACAAACCTCCAAACACTTTACCATCTAGCTCATGACTCAGAGAGTGTACCAACTAGATAACCAGAATGGCATCTCTATTATTCAGGTGTAAGTAACTCAATGAGTAAGGAATAATAATAATTACCTCACAGTTTCCTCTCCCTGAGACCAAAATCCAATTGTGTTCAGACTCTAGACAGGGGCTAAAATTTCTATATACAAGTAGTAATAAAAGGGGCACAAAGAGATCTTATATATTTAGCTTTATTAGAACTGAAGCTCTTTTAGTAACAAGCAGATCTATTACTGGATATTTAGACATTCAATTCAAACATAGTTTGAACAGAGTGGCAGTAAAGACAGAATTTAGGAGCAGAGATTCCAGTCAGGTATCTGGATGACAGCCCTCCACCACTATGGAAGTTTTTATTCAACTTTCCTAGCATTCGTATTATTCATCACTAGAGTGATTATAATAAAATATAATGGTATTTTAAAAAATTAATAAAAAGTGGATGTAATGTGTTTAATATAAATGTAGTGGTTGGAAGTTAAAAAGTGTTCAAGTAAAGATAAGTATAAGTGTTATTTTATTGCTATGAAAGTTACTATTTTTAACACTATTACTAATGTAGAGGACTGTACAGGATCCAGAAGAAAAATGTCACAAAACCGATTTGCATTCACAATAGAATATAAGAAGAGGTAGGAAAGGACCAAAAAAATCATAAGAAAAAAATAGAATAAAACAAATAGGTAACAAGGACACAGTTAAAGGTTACAAAAGAAGTCAAGGAGATGAAGGAGATAAAGTCAGGTCACAGGGATAATAAAACACAACTGCAGAATCGGAACCTGCCTTAGCAGAAATAAAGGGCATACTGAAACTACTAAAAGTCAAACCTATTATGTATAGAATGCTCTCAGACTTAAAGAAAAAAAAAAAAGAAAGAAAAAGTGAAACTAGATCTTCAATAAGGAAGATAATCACTAGCCAACATAATTCCTATTCCAAGTGAGATGGAAAGCACTGAAGGGTTCCATCAAAGGGATGATATGATCTGACATTTTGAGATTTATGCAGTGAATTAAATAATACATGAAGAATACATAATAATATATATACAAATTAAATAATAATATTAGAACAGGCATTCTTATTAAACAGTAACTTTAGCAGCAAAATATTGCCAGTATTGTACGATCTGACCATGTGCCATGTTAGATCTCTTTTCGTCTACATAAGAGGTAATCTTCAGAGAAAAGTGTTTTGTACCTTTTCTTTTCACCACTTCACCTTTTCCCATTTCACCATCAAAGGATATCTATCCATTCATTAGCAATATAAAGTTTGGGTTTCCTTTTTAATGTCTAACTAAATGGAATCAAACTATGTGTAGTTTTTGAGCCATATATCTTTCACTCATTGTTTTTCAGATTTATCCACCTTGTTCCATGTGGTTTTGATTTGTTACCATTGTTGTATGGTACTCAATTAGATTAATGGACCTCTATTTATTTATATATTCTACTATTGATATATTCATGAACTAATATCAAGGATTTGTCTAGGGTATATACTTAGGGTAACAGACTCTTTTCTAGGGACACATATATTTCATAACATATGAGAGTTTCCAATGACCCATTTTCACACCAAGGTATGATACATTCCAACCTTTAAAATTTTTGCCTAAGTAAGGTATATATTTTGATCATATTTCAGTTTTAATTTTCACTTCCCTAATAATGATTAAATTCATTATTCTTTACTTAAAATATCAAACTGTCATCTTTTTATTTCTGAAATATTTATTTTTTAATTTATGTTCAATTAGCCAATATATAGTACATCATTAGTTTTTGATATAGTGTTCAATGATTATTTGTGTATAACACCCAGTGCTCATCACAACAGGTGCCTTCCTTAATATCACCCAGTTACCCCACCCCCACCCTTCTATAACCCTGTTTGTTTCCCAGCGTCCAGAGTCTCTCA